TTTTTTTTTTTTTACGGGCTCGGGTCGGACTCGGGCTGATCATTCTAATGAGCTGTCGGACACGGGCCGGGCTAGGGCCTGAGCGTCTCGGGCCAGGGCCGGGCTAGGGCCTAGATTTGAGGCCCGTGCAGGGCTCTAATCCAGCTGTGTACCCGTTACGTTCGATAACCGCAAGGTTAGTTGTAAAAGCACTGACCCAGTTTATATCAGTGTTCGGAGTACCACGAGTTATTCAGTCTGATCAGGAGAGTAATTTTACTTCCAATTTGTTTGGTCAAGTTTTGAAACGGCTTAATATTCAACATAATCTTTCCAGTGCCTATCACGCTCAAAGTCAGGGAGCACTGGAAAGGTTTCACCAAACATTAAAGTCTTTATTGAGATCTTACTGTGTTCAGATGAATCAGGATTGGGAAGTGGGTTTACCCTGGTTAATGATGTCAGCTCGAGAAGCCGCTCAGGAGGGTACCGGATTTAGTCCGAATGACCTTGTTTTTGGTCATGAGGTGCGGGGCCCCTTGTCTATTTTGACTGCAGATTGGAAAAAAGCTGATCCACCAAAAAACCTTTTAGCGTATGTAAGTGATTTTCGCAGACGAATTTTCGAAGCCTGTCAATTGGCAAAAGCATCTTTGAGTAAAGCACAGGATCGGATGAAACGACTTTTTGATCGTCGTACAGAATTGCGTTCATTCCAATTGGGTGATCAAGTTCTTGCTTTGTTACCTATTGTGAGATCACCATTTCAGGCTAAATTTGTGGGTCCTTATACTGTTGCTCGTAAAATTTCGGATCTTAATTATGTGATTAATACGCCAGATCGGAAAAAGAAGACTAGAGTGTGTCATGTAAATTTGTTAAAGCCTTTTTATGGTTCTGAAGAATTTGTTGACACTGAAATAAGTCCAGACGACGTTGATATAACTAATCCTAGTATTAAATCTGTGTTGCTTACAGATTCTTTTTGCGGTGATGCTGAGTTGGCAACCACTTCCATTATGATAGGTGGGGATCAGGATGAGATTGATCCTGGAGATTCTATTCTTCAGGGTCGTTTACACAATTCAGAAGCGTTACGTTCTTTGTCTGAACGGTTTAGTCATTTAACAGAGGGGCAGCGTACCGATTTGATTAATCTGATTTTTGAGTATATTGCACTATTTCCTGATACTCCATCTCGTACAAGTCTTATTGAACACGACATTGATGTAGGAAATTCGGCTCCAATTCATCAGCGCTATTACCGAGTTTCTGCAAATAAAAAGCAACAATTAGAGAAGGAAGTTGAATATATGTTGTAAAATCATATTGCTGAACCTTCTTTTTCGAGTTGGGCTTCTCCCTCATTGCTGGTGAATAAATCTGATGGATCATTCAGATTTTGTACGGATTACCGATAGGTGAATGCCGTAACGAAACCTGATTCATTTCCATTGCCTCGAATTGAGGACTGTATTGACCAGGTGGGAAATGCTAAATTTGTTAGCAAGTTTGATCTATTAAAAGGTTACTGGCAGGTGCCTTTAACTGAAAGAGCTCGGGAAATTTCTGCTTTCATTATTCCATCAGGATTATTTTCGTACAATGTTATGAGTTTCGGGTTGCGAAATGCTCCCGCAACTTTCCAGCGTTTAATGAACCGAGTGATTTCTGGCTTGAGGGGATGCGCTGTGTACTTGGACGATGTCATTGTGTATAGTCAAACTTGGGAAGAACATGTTATACAAATTAGAGCACTATTTGATCGACTTGTGATGGCAAATTTGACGGTTAATTTGTTAAAATGTGAGTTTGCAAAGGCTACCGTAGTTTACTTGGGGAAAGTGGTTGGCCAAGGCCAAGTGCGCCCTGTCCGTGCAAAAGTGGAAACGATTGATAACTACCCTACATCTACCACAAAGAAAGAACTTATGCGATTTCTTGGAATGGTGGGATTTTATCGTTGTTTTTGTAGAAATTTTTCTACTGTGGTGGCCCCCCTGACAAGTTTATTGCGGGGTGGAGTAGACTTTTGTTGGACAGGGGTCTGTCAGCAAGCCTTTGAAAAAGTTAAAATCCTTCTTACAGAGGATCCTGTTTTGAAAGCTCCAAAGTTTGATCAGGCGTTTCGATTGCAAGTGGATGCCAGCAATGTGGGTGCTGGTGCCGTTCTGTTACAGACTTACGAAGATGGAGTTGATCATCCGGTTGGATTCTTTTCTAGGAAGTTTAATTCTTATCAACTGAATTATTCGGTGATTGAAAAGGAGGCGCTTGCTTTGATTTGGGCTTTACAACACTTTGAAGTGTACGTGGGTTCGTCTGAGGGACCCCTGGTGGTTTTTACTGATCACAACCCTTTAGTTTTCCTTCACTCGTTACAGAACCCAAACCAGAGGTTAATGAGGTGGTGCTTATTTTTACAGGGATACCTGCTAGATATTCGCCACATTAAAGGTTCAGAGAATGTAACTGCTGATGCCTTATCTCGTATTCATGTAGTCTAGTGTTAGGATTTGTTCCATTTCCCTGTTTTGTGTCTCTGTTCTTTTCTTAATTTGCTTCCTAGGTGCCGGGGTTGCTAGAAGGACTTGGAGAGCTGATAAGACTGGGAAGGATCCAGAGTTGGAATAAGTTCGCTTACTTGGACTGTTTGAATTCTGAGTGGTGGGTTTTGTTTGGGTTTTGGACGAGTTTGTGAAGTCGCTGTGTTTTTTTTTTTTTGTGTGTTTTTTAGGGGGAGTGTGTGACGAGTCTCTTCTCTTCCTGTTACGGCGAGCTAGTGGGTGTGGCTAGGAGACTCATCAACGGAACGATGTCCACCTGTTCATCCCTCTATAAATGTTTAGACTGACTGGTGTACACAGAAAGGTCTTTCCTCCGGTTTACTTTGTGTTCGATTTATGTTTGATTTGGGCTCGGTTAGTTTCTTTGGTTAGTATTTTGGTTTGCTCTGGCTGATACATTTACACCCATGCCCTTTGTCAGGCATTACAGACGACCACGTTTTATTGTTTTATACATTTTTCTAATTATGTGAATAAAAGTTATTTTCTTTTGCAATCCAATCACTGTGTCCTCCATTTCATTTGCCACGGCTTTGAGCCGGTCGTGACAGGACAATGAAAATTGGCAAATTGGCAACGTGCAGTTTCACAGACCAAAACAATAACAAACATGAAACATCCTGCGCTTGACAGGGCGCATAACGAGCAGAGAGAGCGCCCCGGCCGTGTGCGCCCACTCTGACGTCTTCAAACAACACGAGCGCTGTCTTGCTCTCTCTCCCTCGCGCATATTAATCAAAATCAATTGACACAATAGTAAAAGGTCGGAAGACCGCAGTTTCACGTGGAGGATTTGGAGATTTTTAGAGATTAGAGACTCTAGGCCTCTACACTCAGTGAACAGCATCTCAACACTAAATTATAAAGGCCTGTCTCATATAGACGCCTGTCTCAAATACAAGCCGGTGCAGTTCAGCGATTTGGGAAAATAAAAGCCCGGGCTATTATTTGAAGTTTTACGGTACATGTTTCTCACATATTATGGTAGCCCTGTTTGTGCTAATTACACCATAATTACACCTTTGCCATTAATATGTTTATAAGCAACTGAAAAAAGCACAAATGTCAGTGCATGTCAAAACATCTCAAGGACCCCAAAAACACTTTAGACCCCAGAGGGTTAAAGGAGAACTCCGGCGCAAAATGAACCTTTGGTCTAATTACACATTGTTACCTAGTCAACCGTTATCTGAGATTTGTTTTCATGATTATCGAATGTAAATAGTTTTATCTCTAAAAACAGTTTAGCCTATAAAGCTAGTATAACGCTAGTATATTGGGCATAGTGTAATGACAAATAAAAATCGCTTGTTAATACCACTAATAATAATTTCATAGGGAGCTTCAAAGAAGACAGAGAAAGCCAGAGACAGAGTCTCAGGTCAGCAGACAATTTTTGAGTCTGTGAAAAGGAGAAAAGAAAGCAGACATGGCTAGTGCATGTGAGGACACGGCCATCACTGAGTCACTAGCCTACTTCATAGTAAAGGACATGGTGCCTTGTGTTTATCAGTATCCTTATGTTTGATGGGTAAAAAAGAAAAACTAAATAAAGTAAAAATTAATTTGACTGATAACTTTTTCCCCCAAGGTTTCTATAGATATTGCGATATATCGATATCGTGAATTCTTTTGGCCACAATAACCGTGGTGTGAAAAATCTAACATTGTGACATCCCTAGATGCCACCCCCAAAACTTGCACAGTCCTGTAGCTCCTTATGGGTCAACATTTCATTCGGTAATGTTAGGCAGCTTTGATCTATATGCTGTTTGATGTTTAATTTTTTGCGTTATTTTACATGTGTGTAAGCAATGCTTCCTTCACTTGTTTCTGCTTATTTTTCACCTGTGTTTTGACCTGAAGATCCGGTCCTCTTTCAGAAGATGTGCAATAGCGCCCCTAGCGTATAACAGTGAAAACATGGATTGCCGGGAAAATTCCATCACTGGTGGGAAAGTGTTGTCATAAATTATAGAAAATTCCATCACTGGTGGGAAAGTATTGTCATAAATTATAGAAAATTCCATCAATGGTGGGGAAAGAGTTAAAGAGAAAAATACTGATTTTGAAAGTGAGCCGCAGCTTATGATAGCATGATCATTAAGTGCACAAGGACTGTTCACGGCCAATCTGATGTAAATTAAACTGGCAAGAGCTGGAGAAAATCTGCTGGTTCATTCTTGGCTAGCTGCTACACAACCTCCACGAGTCAGAGTGCACAGGATTTTATTAGTAATCAATCAATCAATCAATACCAGGCTGGTTTATTATAAGAGACTCAGAAGATAATCTAGTGGCTGGATTATCAAAAGTTTGCAAAGTTCATGACATGAAATCTTTCAAAGAAATTCATTTCTGTTTGAAGTAGATGATTGTTAAGGTTATAATATCTGCAAAAGTAAGTATGCAACCGTGAAATAAGTTAATGCATAATGCAATTCAAACACTTACCACACACTCTCCACGCACACAGATGCTGTACGGGTCTTTGTAAGAGCACTTTGTCCCATCATGCATCAGTTGCTTCATGTAAGCCACGTCACCTGTTTCTCTCGACTGGCAATAAAGGTGACACCTTTTGTTGGCTGACAATATAGAAAAACATGAAGAAATATTTAATAAGAAAGACCAGAAATTACATTACATACATTGTTGTCTGCTATAGGTCTATTAAAATAAAATTAAGTTATGAGAAAACAATAATATTCAACCAGTAAAACTGGTGTGTAATCATGCATAAAGAATAGTGTAATGTAATATTCAAGGAAAATGAAAATGTGTTCTTACAGGTCTTGATCTACACAAGCTTTGAGCCGATTAATTATTCAAGTGCATTAAAATTGACTTGTGTTAATGTGAAAAATGAGCACAGGTCTGACATCTGACAACCTATTGAACTCTTGAACTTATATAAAATAACATTAGAATAACTCCCTAAAACATTTAACATATGCAAATTAGGTTTCACATTGCAACTGGCTACTTGGTTCCACCCAAGTCAACAGAAAAAGTTTACTTTTCAAAGGGACAGTTTACCCAAAAATTTTAATTATTTAATTATTTACTCACCCTCATGTCATCATGTCACGCCATACAGGTTTGGAACAACATGAGGGCGAGTAAATGATGACAGAATTCAGCACATAGTAATGGAATGCAATGAAATTAATAGTCATATAGTGTCTGAATATTAACATGGTAATGTAGACAATTCTGTTAGGACCACTATCGTCAAAGATGATTGACAATTAGCATACAGTTTGGATTGGCGGTATGGTTCTGTTCGGGGCAAGAACTCGCTGCCCATCTGTGGCGAGGGGGGTGTGGTTCAGCGTGGTCTGCACCGAGAGAGAGAGCTGAGAGACGAGTGGTGAGTAAGTAGGTCAAGTCGTGGGGGTGCTAGGCGTGAGCAGCTCCAGCCGTCTAGTTTCTCATACGCACCACAGCAGCCAAAGCCTTCGAAGCAGAAGCCGGTTCCGAGGGCCGTTTTTCACGCTGAGAAGGCTTCGGCTCAGAAGAAATGGCGCCATCGGCGTCAGACCAGTGAGGGCAGCCCCAACCAGGGTGAAACGGTGAAACACCTCATTATACGGTGCCCGTTCCATTTCGGTGTCCTCACGAGACCGTTCTGGCAACCCCGCCACCCTTGGTGCTTCAGGGCGCAGCGGTCTCCAGCGAGCCTTTGGCGCAGTGTCAACTCGACATTGCGTCAGACTCGCGCCCTCTGAGGGGGGTTCGAAAACAGTCAGTTCGGGTTGTTCCTGCCAGTATGCTTCAGGTCCCCAAACTGGCTGTCTCAACTACACCAGAGGCCAGCCTCGAGAGGCTGGTTCCCTTGGTAGATTTTCTGGCAGCGCGGAAGCTACTGCCAAATATATCTATATGGGTCCTGCAGTTAGTAGCAAGAGGCAGATTCCAGTTTGGTTCTCGTCCTCCAGGCTAAAACGGGGTGTTGCTCATGGTAGTGCCTGCCGAGCAGGCTCTGGTAATGGAGCAAGAGGTAAAGGCCCTGTTACAGGAGGTTCCTGAGGTTTTCTTTCAGGGGCAAAGAACACCAGTATCAGGCACTTCCTTTCGGTCTAGCTCTATTATCCCACACATTCACGAAGTGCGTAGATGCAGCTCTGGCCCCGTCCAGGCTCCAGTGCATACGCATTCTGAATTGCATAGACGACTGGCTGATTCTAGCGGAATCAGAACAGTTAGCGGTTCGGCATCGAGATGTCGTCCTCGCTCATATGCGAAGGTTGGGGTTGAGGCTCAATACCAAGAAGAGTGTGCTTTCTCCAGTACATAGGACCACTTTTCTTGGAGTGGTTTGGGATTCAGTCACGATGCGAGCCATTCTGTCACCCGCTCGTGTAGCTGTTATCATTACTGCCACAAAAGAGCTAAGGCTAGGCCAGTCACGCACTGTGAAACTGGAGAGACTGTTAGGCCTCAGGGCAGCAGCGTCCAATGTGATACCCTTTGGCCTGCTGTACGTGAGACCTTTGCAGTGGTGGCTCAGGACCAGAGGGTTCTCCCCGAGGGGAAACCCACTCCGTACGATCAAGATCACGCGGCAGTATCCCCGCGCCTTGGTTATATGGAGGAAACACTGGTTCTTGTCCCAGGTTCCGGTGTTGGGAGCTCTTTGCCATCGAGTTGCTATCTCAACAGATGCTTCCCTCACCGACTGGGGAGCGGTATTGGAAGGCCGCTCAGCTCAGGGCTTGTGGAGGAGTCATCATCTCTCTTGACACATGAATTGCCTAGAGATGATGCTCGTCTTCAATATGTTGAGACATGTCCTCCCAGACCTGAGGGGCCATCATGTGTTGCTCTGGACAGACAACACGCTGGTGGCCTCTTTTTTGGTTCCTCGGGAAAATACGCTCTCTGAGGGCAATGTATATTCCAGGGGGCCAGAATATGGGAGCAGACACCCTGTCGAGGCAGGGGCTGAGGCCAGGGGACTGGAGACTCCACCCCGAGGCGGTGGAGCAAATACGAGAGATTTATTTGGGGCTGCCCTTGGGGCTGGATGCTATGGTGCAGATGTGTCTGTACGCAATTTCCCCTGTTGCTCTGCTCCCAGGAGTTCTGGAGATAATCCGCCAGGATGGAATAAGCCTACTGCTAGTAGGACCACGGTGGCCGAGCTGAATTTGGTTTGCGGACCTAATTCTTCTCCTCGATGAAGGAGATTTCTTCTCCTCGATCTCCCCTCCCTTGGAGATCCCGATCAGGAGAGACCTCCCGTCTCAGGCAGGGGGTGCAATATTGCACCCCCGGCAGGGGATTTGGAAACTGTGGGTTTGGTCCCTGAGGGGGCCCAACTCATAGAGAGTGGTCTCTCAACCGAGGTTGTTGAGACCATTCTAAGCTCCAGAGCTCCCGCTATGAGGAAACTTTATGCACTTAAATGGAGAGTTTTCACTTCTTGGTGTCACCAGCGTCAGTGGGATCCAGTTAACTGTTCAGTGAACACAGTACTTGAGTTTCTGCAAAAGCGCTTTACGTCAGGTTTATGTCCGTCCACGCTCAAGGTATATGTGGCGGACAAAGCAGCTTTCAACGCCCTGGTGGGTGGTACATCGTTGGGTCGAGACCCCCGATCACACGTTTCCTTCGTGGCACATTGAAGCTGAGGCCTGCAACTCGCACTAGGGTGCCGGCTTGGGACCTTGCAATAGTTTTAGAAGGCATGTCTAGGGCTCCATTCGAGCCCTTAGATTCGGTTTCAGAGAAATTTCTTACTTTTAAGACCATCTTTCTGCTAGCTATTTCGTCCCTCAAAAGAGTCGGAGACCTTCAGGCCCTTTCGGTTTCCCCTACTTGCCTTGAGTTTGCACCGGGGATGGTCAAGGCATTCTTATTTCCAAAACAGGGATACATCCCTAAGGTGGCAACCACGATTCCGAGGCCTATTGTGCTGCAGGTTTTCTGTCCTCCTCCTTTTACCTCTTCGGACCAGGAAAAGCTGAACCTCTTGTGTCCAGTGCAAGCACTAGACACTTATGTTTATCGGACTTCTCCGTGGAGAAAATCCAACCAGCTATTTGTTTTCTTTGGATCACCCAAGAAAGGTCTTCCTGCTTCTAAGCAGATGGTCAGTAAGTGGGTAGTCGAGGTTATTTCACTCGTTTACGAGTACTCTGACCAGCCGTGTCCTTTGGCGGTCAGAGCTCAATCTACGAGGGGTATGGCGGCCTCTAAAGCCTTATTATTTGGGGTTTCTCTCCAAGACGTTTGTGATGCGGTGGGCTGGTCCACACCGCTCACGTTCGTAAGGTTTTACAGCTTGGACCTGGACCTGAAGTATGGCAGGGAGACGATGCGTCGCCCTGCCATATTTCCTCCATCCCTGTGATCGACTTGCTTCGGCAATTTTCGAAGCTAATGCCGGTTTGCACCGGATGCGCTTTATCTCTTCCTGGTCATGACGGCACCCGCCCGTGACGCTTATTCTTTCCATTGGACTAGTTGACATAGATGATTCAAACGCATTCACGCTGGAGGCGTTCCCAAAGCGTCATCGACGCATCGTCTCGTTCCCTATCTCAGGGAACTATGGTTACAGACGTAACCTGAGACGATTTCCTCTTCTAATATCCTCTTTGCTTGAAAATATGTCACAATACTGAAGTAATGTCGGTGACAACTTCCAGTTCACACAGACATAATCAACAATGATAACAGCTGGATGGCTTAATGCAACAGGTGTGATGCTGATACCTAGATATCTTTAAGGCACAAATATGTAAGAATTTTGCATTAAAATATCCAAAAATCACTAGAACAAAGTTATATATGTTGTTGAGGTGTACTTGCATTATCCCAAATGTTTCCAACAATGTTTAAATCAAGATAAATCCACCATTTAACCAATGAAGTGGTCCATATCATTGCTTCGCCTGTCAAAGTTGCATATCCTCGTTATCCTTGGTTGTCGATTTTACTCCTGAAGAATCCAAGAAAAACAATGTGCTTCCTTATTCATGAACATAATTTCTGTTCTCATCAGACTGATTCCATCGGCTGTGTAGATGACGACTAGGGGTGGGGCAAAAAATTGATTCTTAGATGCTGTAAACCGTATGTTATACGTAGGTTTACTGTACTGCCCTCCACAGTCACAGTGTGTATCAGTGCCAGTCACAAAAAGTTACATTTTGACTGTGCTCTCTGCAGATCTTCATTTACTTTTTTTGTATAAGCTGTTTTTGATTGTGGTATACAGAAAAAAATTAAAGTCATAACTCTTTATTATTTAGTTGTGTATAAGAGCAGCTTTGTATGTTACTAATTATTCAGAATAAGTCCACAAGCATTATTTTTGTATGAGAGCTGCTGGTACATAATTCTATATTTTTGAACGAAAGCTGTTTTGTGATTTTGCTACAGCAAAATGTTTATTTGTTTTTTGTTTGTTTTTTTGGCTGAAGGATTATATTGCTCATTGCACATAACAGGAGGATGTTGGTTAGAAGTCTATTATTAAATGTTAGAGATTCAGAATAATGGTGAAGTTTGTATTAATTTATTACAAGTATGCTGCTAGTACAGGGACACATTTATTTTCCTGTTGGTTCTTTCCAATGTTGGGACATATGCTGGCAAATGTAACCTACAGTTGACTTGCCAAATCACTTTCTATTTGTTTTATTAATAAAATGAATATAGGAAGTATTGGAAGAAAATTCTTTATGGGTCATTATAAATACTTTGCTTTAAAAGTACCAAGTAGTCACACACAAAAAAGATGCATCAATAATCGTTTTAGCATCGCATCGTAGTCCTCTGAATTGTAATCGAATCGTGAGGTGCCTAGAGATTCCCACCTCTAATGACGATCCCCATTATTCCACACTTCTTCATGGGATTATCAAGCTACAACGTTGTTATTGTTTGAATAAGAGACCTCTGCGGCGAAACGTACTTACTGTGCATTTAAGCAACAAGCATGTTACTGATACACTAGATAAGCATGTTGCTGACTTATCTGATTAATATTGCCAACATGCTGTGTATAAGCATAAAGAAACAAGCATGTTTCCAATAGCCAGATGAGCTTTAAGAAACAAGCATGTTGCCAATAACAACCAGATAAGCCTTAAACAACAGCTTTAACCCTTGTGCTATATTTTTTATTAAACTCCAGAGAGGGTTTGTTCCAGAATTAGGAACATGTACAACCACATTTACAATTACAACCATGCTTATACAGAGCTGTATTGCACTCCTGCTCGTGTAGTATTGCATATGTATGCCGTATTGTGATACAGCAACATTGCAGTCTTAAAAAAAACTTACCTCACCTGTCCCTAAATTTCTTACTGTGTCCCTAAAAATATTTTTGAACAAAAAACACTGCTGAAAAAAAAGGTAAGCATAGATGGCGTTCGGGCCAAATAATACATTATACAATATAATATGCTAAAATATGTGTTTTTAACCCTCTGGGGTCGGTGGTCACGCCGGTGCGACCAGCTCGCTTTTTTCTTATCAGTGCAAAAGAGACTAAAATAACACCTTCGATTTTTGTCATACAGGCAAGTGTTATACATCATTCAAAATTGTTTAATGTCTTCTTTTATTTGTGTACACTAATAATAAAAACAAAATGTTGTGTTCTTTGTAAAGTAAAGAAAATAAACATGATGCGCGTTCTACCGTCTCTTTCAATGTGAAGTTTATTCTGAAATGCGACAGATAATAATCTGTAACTCAGCGAATGCTGGCCACACTGACATGAGACGTGTCTTTACAAAGCTTGAAGTCTCTATTTTTAAATTATGTAAATCATATCAAAAAAAAATATTCTCTGTTTAGATAATCCGTAAGAAAGCAACGAGATGTACAGTTTCTCAAACGCGTCCTCATTAGCTATAATGTGACCACACTCAAGCGCGCACAAGCAATTGACATGCAAATCGTCCACGTGAAGGAACGCAGACCAGTAAACGCCCTCATTAACTCTAAACAAAGAATTAGAGACTTCAGTACTCCTCTGCTTTTCATCGAGTTTGGAGAACTGTTTGGAAGACTGTGTTTGTGCTGTGTTGTTTACCTTGGATTTACCTCAGAAGAATTAGAAGAACGCGATTTGAAGATGAGAAAGAATTTTAAGGTAAGAAATTTCCACTCATTATAGTAAGCATGTTATTGTTGCATAAACTTCACATTGTAGCTACTAGTTAAACTGGTGCTAGACTAAAATGTATGTATATATACAGTATATATAGACCGAAACATGTTGAAATATGAACTATAGACAGGTAGGCAACCTTTCAATGCTAAATTTATATACATGTACGACACAAGGATGTTTTTATTTGTTCGATAATAAAACACAGCATGATATGAAAGTAGGCTAGTTTAAGTGTTTACTCTTATATGGTGAATATTATAATGTTTAGACCAGTGTTTACTGTTAAATACTGTGTTTGTGGATATCTGCTCAAACATAGATATGTATAATGTGGTAACAATAATGTTTAATAGTTTGGAGCGGCTCGATCGCTTCAGTAAATGTTCTCTGCACCCGCTGTGAGTTTGAGTCACTCGCACTGTGGGTTTGAAAAGCAAAATGTGCCAAACATTAGGCTTAATGTTTTTACTCCAATCTAATTTCATAATGTCATAACGAATGAAAACATTTGAAGTTACTTATGATAATCCATATATTTTTCTATAGTGTAGTGTTACTGAAGTGTTAATTTTTAACAATTTATAGGCCGCCTGCTATAGGCTATTGTTATTATTATTTGATGCAGCCCTACAAGTATATGCCCACAAGTATATGCCTACAGCATGCCAAACCTGGTGTTCATAATATATATATATATATATATATATATATATATATATATATATATATATATATATATATATATATATATATATATATATATATATATTTTTTTTTTTTTTTTTTTTAATTCTAAATCACAATTTTAACCAGAAAAATCGAAAATGTATTCCCAAAATCGTGCAGCCCTATAGTTTCTCTTGATATCAGCATGTTTACAGTTGTTTCGTGTTTTTTTTACAGGGACCAGATGCCACTGATGAGTCCTGCTGACTTTAACATTCACATGAGTCTCTGTACATGAACATGGTAAAATGAAACACCTTGGAAATGACAGGTATGTACTATGTTTCAGGAATGGCACAAAGGTGTGTGACTGTTCAAGTCTCTGTCTTTAGATCAGTGTGTTCAATAATGTGCTTTTTTGTCCTTTGTTGTGAATCTTTGTATTATGTTGTGTTGTAAATAAATCCAAACAATCAAAAAGCCATACTTTTTTAAATCTCTACTCATTCTTTGTTCTGGTCCCACCTGATATGGCCATTATGGGAGGGTCTTTGTTTTTCTCAGGAGTGAAAAACATCTATATTCATGATGATTCACGCCTCCTCGCATAAAGCTTTCTTACACAAAACATGTCTTACAGATTTTAAATCAATATATTGTTTTATCTAAATGAGTACGCAGGATGATTTTCACATAGTTTTGAAGCAAATATTCTAGGATACGTGATACAATTTTCAAAAGTCTTGTGAAGAAATAATCAGTATGGTTTTCATGACCTTATTTCAGTGACAATATTTTTGTGTTTTATCACAAACCACGCATAAACGTCATTATCTCAAACTACAAACTTTTACATACATGCTGCTGACATTGTATTCAGCAGAAATTCTGCTACAATGTGTAATCAGACTTTAGCCATGAAAATGTCACAAGTAACAGAAATAAGCACAAATGTCAGAGCATGTCAAAACACCTCCAGGACCCAGAAAACACTTCAGACCCCAGAGGGTTAAACTGGAATGGCTGTCACTGACATGTCACTGGCTTTAGTTTTGAACAATGTGGTCATTTCATTTTGTGGTTTAAAGAGATAAATGGCAATGGACACAACATGAAGCAACAGCAGAAAGTGCAAAGTTTGACAAAAGCATTTAAAACGACACTTTGTCCCCTCATGTGTGAGAGCACTCTAAACGGCTTCTTGAGCCACACACACTAAGGAAAGTGGGTAAAGTTGTTGTTCATCTTGTACTGGTTGGTTTGGTTCATGGCTAATATCGCTTTAACACAGACAATTTAAAAATTCATATGGAAAAAAATATAGAACAAGGCTGCTGAAAAACTTTTGCACTATTTCAGTGCTCTTGGAATGTCACTCGGTCAATAAAACTCTAGGGGCCCTATTTTAACGATCTGAAACGCAAGTGTCAAAGCGCAAAGCGCAAGTAACTTTGTGGGCGGATCCCGGCGCTGTTGCTATTTTCCCGGCGGGATAAATGCCTCTTGCGCCTGGCGCAAATCTAAAAGGGGTTGGTCCGAAGTAGCTTCATTATTCATAGGTGTGGTTTGGGCGTAACGTGAAATAAACCAATCAGAGCGTCATCTCACATTCCCTTTAAGAGCAGGCGCGCTTGTTCTAAAGCGGATTCCTATTATAACGGCGGATTTGCCAGGCGCGCGCCAGGAGCGGTTCACAGCCGAGGAGAGCAACGTTCTCGTCAGGGCCGTAAAACACAGAGAAGTGACATTGGGGATGGAGAAACCCACCCAAATTAACTTCTGTTAAACAGGTGTATGATAATTTGCGTAAATGTGTAAGCTTCATGTATGCTTTTACAATAAATTATCTATCTATCTATCTATCTATCTATCTATCTATCTATCTATCTATCTATCTATCTATCTATCTATCAATCTATCTATCTATCTATCAATCTATCTATCTATCAATCTATCAATCTATCAATCTATCTATCTATCTATCTATCTATCTATCTATCTATCTATCTATCTATCTATCTATCTATCGTAGCCTAATAATGTATGATTTGCAAAAATGAAAACGGCTGCTTAGATGAGAGAATCAAAGTGTATGCGCGTTGTGCACACGCTACATTGATTATGGCCAAGCATGCGCCCTTAAAATAGCTTGATGAACAACGCGCAACGCGCCACTGACTTTAGACTACTTTTTTTCTGGTCAGTGGCGCAATTGTTTTATAGAACAGCAAAATAGCATGAAGGAAAGTTTGCGCCGGAACACGCCTCCTCTTTGCGCTGAACCGCCCCGGGGAGCGCAAGTGTATTTCTTAGTTAACAGACGTGCGTCTGTGGAGGGAAAAGTCCGCTTTGCGCGGGTGCAAAATAGGAATGATACATGCGTCAGTGTACAAAGTCATTTGCGCCGAGTGCAAGATAGGGCCCTAGGACTGGGCACTATTATATAAATATATTTTCCCAAATTACACTGCTTTAAAATCTGAAAAACTCACCGTCTGGGTGTTCGTAGGGAAGCCAGTGGTGTTTAGTGTTCTGGTATTCAAAGTGGGAGTTGCGTTGTTGACATTGCTGTGCTCTGAAGTCCTCAAAGTGTTTGGGGCAATCATCAATGTTACACAGCTGGTACTCATAGTTAACCCCTGGACAGTCCTGACCTCCATTAGATGGACTAACAGACAAAAGATAATAATCAAATAAAGATCAACAAAGTACTTTAAATATACAAGTGTGTGGTTTAAAAAGCAGTCAGTAACCAAAGTTAATCTAAACAAAGTTTAAATGAATCACTTCAATGAAGTGAACAGATAGTAGAAACACATCTATCCCTTCTTTCATCAAATAAAATATATAGATCCACATTCAGAAAAGCTAAGCAATGTTTGGATCGAATGGCAACCGATGCAAAAGATAGATTGAATTTTGATAACATCACAAGCCTCACTTTAAATTTTATTCATGCATATTTTCTGTAAGTGTGAACATCTGTTCAACTCAAATGGTGTTTAACAGGTCCTTAAAACAAACCCTCTACACAACTAGAACACTAATGTGCTAGCATAAATAAAACTAAATTCCTAGTTCTCTTGCTTCTTTCATTCTCAAAGCATGCATGCTAATTAAGAAGCATCCACTCTATAATACCCCTACTTCAAAAAGAAAAATACACTTAGACAGCATAGACGGCAGCACTATCTGATTAAAAACACCCTGCGCAGATGTTTATCAAAAAATAGATTTAGAGATACAAACAGGTAATCAGATAATTTCATGCATTATTTTTGATCTGACTTCAAACACAGGTTTTGAAATATTAAAGAGATAAAGAACAAACTAACCTTACTGGAGAATGCAAAGTTTGTGATTGACATTTCCTATCATTGGATAGTGTCAATCATGTTCACCCCTGCTGTCTGTATGCATTATTGCTAGACAGATAGTTCTTTTCATTTTTAAGAAACTGCAGCCATCCATATGATAACTGAATCTGGTTATGAAGAGTACACTAGTGTGCCAGTAAGCTTCATTAGCAATCCTGACTGTGCATTCAGTAGATAACATACACAGGGTTGTTGCACTGGCGGGTTCTGAATCGGACGCCTGTCCCGCAGGAGCGAGAGCAGGAGCCATACTTGCTCCAGGCGCCCCAGGCTCCATCTTGCTTCACTTGGTTGGCATTCTTCCACATGCAGTGACCTTTGTAGCACCACTACAAGGGGAAGGTGTGAGACAGAATCAAATTGGGAACAACAGGACAAAATAGGCACAGCAAAATGTGGACACATGAAATTACCTTCCCAGGTGCACATTCAGTGCCATCCAATGGTGGTCCTTTCTTGGTCTTGCAGAAGTAAGGGTTATCTGGATGACTGCACCAAAGCTGCTTGCATGGATCAAAAGTGCGAAACTGAAGAGAGGGAAAAGTGCCCAAGAATTAAATGGCCAGACAAATTTAAAAGATTTTTTAACTTTTTTGGCCAAGCTACAAAGCTACAATTCCACCAGAGATTAGACCTGACAATCCTTTTCCTCTTAGGAACACGCTCGAGCTTGAATTGAAAAAAAAAAAAAGGGGGGGAAAGACAGAGAGAGAAACTGAATTGATTTTCCCTCTAGAGACTGCCAGTGCCACTCTGGAGCTAGTGTTACTGCTAGACACCCAGGAAATGGACCCAAGAACAGAAAAGAGAATACAGACTTTTGGGGGGTGGGGGGGGGGGGCTTGCATTTTCTGTTTACTGCAAATGCCACAATCTGAGTCAACAAAAAAAAGTGTTGTGTACACCATTGTGTACACAATAAAATTTACCAAAAAGGATTTGAGTTTCTGAGTATTTTATTTATCTTAAAGGGATAGTCCTCCCAAAAATGAAAATTCCCTGTATGGGTTTATTTCTTCAACAGAACACAAAAGATGATATTTTGAATAATGTTGGTAAAAAAAAAGGTTTGGTTTCCATTGAATTTTATGTACATACATGCAATAGAAGTCAATGGGAATAAATCAGTTTGCTATACCAAAATTCTTCAAAATATCTCACAAGAAAGAAAGTCGCACAGGTTTGGAATGACATGATAGTGATTTCTTTGTTGTTGCTCGGACTATCCCTTTAATTCACATCAGCTGTGGTTTCTTACACATTTGTTTGTGGGTTTAAAGCACATGAGATGAAAACATTACAATGCGATTTTCATGACTGTTGGTCACAATAAACCAAGTTACATTTATTTTCAAACGAAACAGGGAAACAGACATTTATCACTAAATATAAGGGTATTGATTATGACAAATTAATATGAACACAGCTAAAGTGAAGATAATTTTAGGAATGATAACGTTGTCCACTCCAGGCTGATTCACAGCTGGACTTCTGTTCACTACATTTTCTTTTCATTAAACACAACAGGAGAATGTGGCATACACATTACAATGTGAATAATTGAAAATACAATTCACATTTGCAATATATATTTTTTCTTGGGAAACAAATAATTTAAATTCCAGCCTGTAACACAAGACTGGGAGAGGAAACTAATGGATGACAGCTGAAATACAAGGTTCATCTCTAAGCTCTGTGCTTTACCAAAACAGTTCTGCTTATTTGCAATGCCGTGTGGAGTAGGAACTAGGAAGGTTCAGACATACGGTTAATAAATGGACGGATGTGCCCAAGGGAGAAACGGCACTATGTTGAAGGCATAAATGAACTTCCATTTAAAGTCTCTAACAAGTCCCTTGGCAAGCAGCTAGACTAAAGGATATCAGTTGTCTGCTCTGTCACTGGCTCAGTGCTTTATTTGACCAATAGTCGAAGCCAATATCGATTACCATATAGTACCTGTATTATTAAAGGTGGCATGAAATGGCAATTCACCCTGTCTATTTTCTAAAAATCCAAATTATTGGCCTCACTGAGAACAATTCCTCTGTGTGTGTAAATAGAAATATCATAACTCTCCAATCAAACATTTAGTCCATAAACCCCACTCCTTTCTTACAATCGACCACAAGCTCACATTCAGGTCTCCATCCAAGCAACATCTGATGGATAAAAGTACCAACCTATGTATTTTTATTTTTCCTTTATCATATGTACGTTGGATGTAAGTCACAATACAGAAAAAAAAGAATCTGCCGCTACTTCTGTTTCATCATGTTTTAACTGCATATAAATTAAAGTAATAGTTCACCCAAAAATGAAAAGTCTGTCATTAATTTTTACACCCTTTTTGAAGCTTCAAAGCAACAGTCAGCATTCATTGTAATTGCCCATAAAACACAATCAGAACAAAAGTCATACAGGTTTGAAGCAACATGAAGGTGAAAAAAACTGTAATAGTATTTCATGCATGTGCCAAACGTAGCTCCTTGCACGTTCGTAACCGGTATGCTTATTAAAGGGCATTTATTATGCCCTTTTTACAAGATGTAAAATAAGTCTCTGATGTCCCCAGAGTATGTATGTGAAGGTTTAGCGCAAAATACCCCATAGATAATTTTTGATAGCATGTTAAAATTGCCACTTTTTGGGGGTGAGCACCGTTTTTGATGTGATGTCATGTCACTTTGCCCAGAATCTAAGAACGGCATGTTATGGAGTAAAAGATGGAATATTTTTGCTGCAAAATTACCTTTTTTGGTACCACAAACTCCTCAGAGAGCTAAATAAAATGTCACACTCCAGATGGGAGAAGTAACAAATAGTTCCTGACAAATATTTTGTTTACAATCCCATTACAATCTAATTGTTTCTATCGACACTGACAATGGGCCACAGAGAGACAACTATTTAAAGCATGATTAGTGGGTCATAGAACATCTCATGATGAGGGTGTGAGTTTTTGCTGGGCTATGGTGTACAGCTGGGCATATGTTATTTAGGCATGACAGAGGGCTGGGAGGAAGAATCACAGCATGGTGTTCTTGTTTACTAGTGTTACAGCCTTTGATGACAGAATGCCAAACATCTTGCCATCTGCTGGTTCTCAGTTTCAGGCCATAAACGAGGTGTGAGGCTCTTTTCCCTGACACTGTACCTGTGATTGGGACTTTGCAGCACATATTCATTTTGCACTTGAAAGTGTTTAGAGCGGAGGGTTTGGGGGGTTAAGAGAACATTAAAAAAAGTATAATTTAAAGGCCAGAAACTGATGTCTTTCTTAAAATGGTCTTATTTACAAGAGAAACGTGGCATAGAAATATATAAAGCACTTATATATGTAAAGCACTTATATATATATATATATATATATATATATATATATACAGTACTTATATTTTAAGCATTTCCATCTAAAAGACCTTGGACAGAGACCTTAATGAGCACTGGTTAAAATACTAAATATTTAGGAGATGGACTTTTTGGTGCTTGGTTTAATGACTGACATTTATCAGGTCTGTCAAGGGAGAATACAGCCTCCAGCTACACTCACTGAAGTACAAATTTTGTATCCAACTCCAAAATCGAAGCGACACTGCTCATCCATGGAGTAATTGATGCCGGGAAGTTCAGGGAGCTGCGGCCAGTCATGTTTGAAGGGGTCGTCCAGCAGGCAGTCATATGAACTGTGAAAAACAAACAAAGTTGCAACATCTGTTTGAGTAAACCCAGTAAAGGTGTTTAATGAATGGCCCTATAAACTTTGGAAGCCACATTTAAAGTTTGGTAGCAAACAGTAAGCCTGAATTGGACAGTATGGTGTAATGAAAATGAGACTCATACATTCTAGATGATTCATATGATTCATATCATTAAAGCGAAACTCATTTTGAACCCTCAAAGAAAGAACTAAATCACATTTCCTAATCTCCATGCATTAGATAATTTACAGTAAATGTTAAAAATCATGAAGTGCTGAGTGAGGCCAGGACATGCAGAGAAAGTGCTTTTAAACTTTCTAACCACAGAGATTTTGAACTTAAAAAGGGTCTTCAGAGGTTTCCTACTGACCGCTGGCTAATTTAAACTTACAGTAGGCGAATAATGAACTGCGCAAGGATTTTCAGTAAAAGTGAAGCCTTTTATTATCAGAAATAAATCTGTCCGCTCTTAATTATCAGCATTTCTTCAAGAGCACTGTTTAGGTTAAAGGTGATGTGAGAGTTGAGTAAAACACAATGATCACACAAATCTATTGCATTGGTAAACGCAGATTTTCTTCTGAGAACAAGTCGATTTGCTTGATGTGAATGGAAAAAACATTCATTCTACGCTGCTCGAAGACTACCGAGAATAGTGACCACTTCAAACTCAATAGACAACGGTGAAAATGCTTTTCCTGTCATAGAGAGCTACTTAACATCTCATTTGTATTGGCTGCAGTAAGTTGCGAAGATTCATGGGTAATTTATATCCCATCAGCTCTTAGTCATGATAGGATTAACCCTGAACATTAAGAAGTATATAAATTCAAAAATCCGTAAGTGGCACTAGATGTCTTCTGAAATGATTGAGTGAATCAGTGAGGGCTCAAATGAATAAATTACCTCAAATTGAGAGGTTTATTGTAGAAATACAACCCACAACCTTTAGCCCAGATCATAATGTAACAGGTCTCAGATGAGAGAAGTTTGCTGTTGGATCACATCATCTCATTAATAACTTTTTTTTTCATTGACAATTCATATTCACATAACTGTCATGATCTTTTCTTAAAGGGATAGTTCACCGAAAAATTAAACTTCTGACTCCGTTTCATACGTTTTTGTCCATATAATGATGATGTCTGTCTATCAATATGTCTCTTTAAGAAAAAAAAGAGTGTGTTTAGCATTATATAAGCAATTATATAAAGAATGACTTCAAAGTGTACCGTGTGCAGAGCACCATCAAATGTTCAAACACCATCATTATCATGGCTAAAGCAGCAATTACAGGTTGTTTTAGAGTTAATCTCTGTTGGTCATGTTGTATGTAAACTGTCGGATATCACGGCGATCCATGAATGAAAGAACTTTGATCTTGCACTTTTTTCTCGCAGTAAATGACCTACTGTTGACTCTAATTCAGGTAAACAAACAGTCAACTGAACTTGAGGTCAAACCAAACAAAGCACAGCTCAAATTAAAGCACAGGACAATATTTACAATCAAGTATAACTCATTAGAAATATTTATCATAGGCAGGATGCAATTATTCTGCTGAATTATTTGTATCTCCGGTGGGGGGGAAAAAAATCAGTACCCTCACCAGAAATCAATGCTCCTTCATCAAAAGCCATATTAAATGTCTAAAATAAATGTCTGGCATGTTACATTAGCTATCGCCGAACACACCGGCACATTCCCTTGGATTTTTTTTCTCATAACAGCGGCAAGAACTTAAAAAACTTTTTGGTCATACAGATAAGAGTAAGTAAATGTAAACTGTAAATGTCTATTTTTATTTATGTACACTCACGTGCTTTTGTAAAATGAAGAAAACAAACGGGATGCATATTCTGCCGTCTCTATCTCCCTGAACAGCAGTGCGTCACAAAAATAAACCGAAACTCTAGGCTACTTGCCTCAGTCACGATAAGAAATATGTCTATAGAAAGCTTGAAATTTGAACAGATAGGTCTATTCTCTGATTATGTAATCCATATGAAACCAACAAGAGGTACAGAGGTAATCTGCTCAAACTAATCTAATCTCGATCTAATTATGTAAATCGCTCATAATTAAAATGTAAAAATGGATTAAAACATTAAACTTTGTCTAAATATTCCGATATTGTTTCATTAAAGTTCAAAATGATTCTATACATGTTCATTTAACATCTCCACAAAATACCTACTGTGCTTCTTGATTTATTTTCATTAAAAAAAATTAAATTAAAAACATCCTCCCTCTGCTTTTTACACAAATCGCACCCTGATCATAAGGCATACCTGTGAAGAGACATGTTTCCTTTTAAAATATGAAATATGTTCAAGGCCTTCCAGTTTCTAGATAAAACAAAGAGAGGTGTGAGAAGAGAGAAGTGTGAACTCACTGAATATATCTCTTCAGCTCTTGGCCACTGCACATTGACCAGTGGTAGCGGTGGAAGGCTGCTTGCACCAGAGGAGCCATGACACTTCCCATGGCTGTTTCGTCACCGCAGCGGTTGCCCTGACCGTCATGCTCCATTCCCAGTCTACAGATCAGGCATGATTATGGTAAACAGGGACATTTCAGTGCAGCAATGGTAACATTTTCTACCGCAATTAGCATAGTTATATCTAAACAGGGACGCACCTCACCTCCCAACATCATCATTAACGGGTATGAAATTACAAAAGGACACTGTGACCTAACCAGGCGAGACACAACAAAGCAATAAAAGCTATACTATTGATGATCTGAATATTTTGCCTAACTAGATGTGTTGGTTATTTTTGCAGTATTGCCGCCCACAATGAAATCTGATTGGACCAAAATCTCACTCATGTATATTAAATATCAAACATGAATAAGCCCAGAAGAGATTGATTAAATGCTGAAAAACAAACAATACTACTTCTAAACACCTACAAAAGCATTTAAAAGTCTGGGGTCAGTAAGATTTGTTCTTGTTTTTGAAAGAAGTCTATTAAATATGTAAAATTATACGTTGGAAATATTTTGTAACAATGTAAAAAAAAAAATACTGTCACTTTTGGTTCAATTTAATGCATCCCTGCTGAATAAAAGTAGTAATGTGCATGTCATAATGTATATGTCGGTCTGTAATATTGTATATTTCAGTTTAATTGATGTAGCATAATGTATTTTTCATATACTGCTGTTGAAATGTTTAGGATCGAGAAGATTCTTTAAATGTTTTTAAAAGAAGTCTCTTATGCTCACCAAGGCTGCATTTATTTAATACAAATAATTATAATAAAAAAACAGTCATATTTTGAAACATTATTACAATTTAAAATAACTGTTTTCTGTTTGAATATATTATTAATGTAATTTATTCCTGTGATGGCAAAGCTGAATTTTCATCATCATTACTCCAGTCTTCAGAGTCATAATTATGATCCTTGAGAAATCATTCTAATATGATGAATTCCTGCTCAAGAAACATTTATTATTATTATCAATGTTGAAAACAGGTGTGTAAAAAAAAAACAGGATTCTTTGATGAATAGAAAGTTGAAAAGCACAGTACAATACCATTCAAAAGTTTGTAGTCAGGAAGAATTTTTAATTTTTAATAAATTGATACCTTTATTCAGCAAGGATGCATTCAATTGATCAAAAGTGACAGTAAAGACATTTATAATGTTACAAAAGATTATATTTGAAATTAATGCTGTTCTTGTGAACTATTCATCAAAGAATCCTGAAACTGCTGCATTTTGTGTATTTTCAATCAAATAAATTCAGCCTTGGTGAGCATTAGAGACTTCTTTTAAAAAACATTAAAAAATCTCACTGATCCCAAACTTTTGAATGGCAGCATATACAGTATATATATATATATATATATATGTGTGTGTGTGTGTGTGTGTGTGTGTGTGTGTGTAAGCTATATATATATGTAAGCAATATCACACTTGTGGCTGTGATTCGACCGTAGGAAATCAGAGCATGCTGATAAAAGTTACTAGCCTGGTCTAGACGTCACCAACGGACGTCGTGGATAGACCTAAAACCAATCAGAGCGATGAAGGAGATGACGTATGCAGAGCGGCGGAGAAACATCTCCGAGTGTTGTTCTTTGCTCGGTTTTTAACAAAAAGGAAACGTTCAAATCGCTTAAAACAGACGCCATAGCAGATTCGAACGAGTGATGTTCGACGGCGGCATCCATCTTTGTAATGTAGGCTACAAAATCTGCTTCAAAATCCCAGCGCTGTCGTCATCGTATAAAGCCTGCCCCAACGTTTCTGATTGGTGCCTCGATTTCGACGGATTGGAAATGGCCTTGAATGAGCTCTTTGCCAGACTAACTTTCAGAGCAAATCTAAATTTGCCAGAAGTTGTCTGGGTTTTCCCAGGCTAAAAAGTTACTTACAGCCATATCGAATGGCTACGAGTGTGATATTGCATTTATACAACAGTTCAATGGCACACGTGAGTACAACGGAGTATCTTTAAAAACACAAATTTGTGCAGAACTATAGGCCTACTTCCTTCCGCCACGGATTCAAATCTCAAATTGACAGTTTAACAGTTGAGCCCAAGCCTCCGTTACTAATTATAAAACATCACTTTAGAACTAGTAACGAAGGAACGTTGAGTCGCTTCATTAAAGCTAATTGTATCATGTAGAGGAGAGTATTATGAGCAAGAGATCGACTAAACGAGTATATTACCTGCATAGCATTCATTCTTCAGGTCGATGTCCATAATATTATATCCATTGTTTAAAAAATCTGTTTGAATGTTTGAATATTTGTCTATGTCCTTTTAAAAGATTTCCCAAGACAGCGCTAAAACAACTTACTTGTTTACCACTAGTCACACATAAAGACAGTCTTTGCCGTTATCTAATGGTGTAATAATGTAACTGTCACTGAAGTTGACTATTTCAATCACAATATTAATTATTTACAATATTTATTTAACAATAATATTTAAATTAACAACAATAACCATTTTAAAAGTACAAAAGGAATTAACAATAGGAAATAAACACAAGCAAACAATTCAGTCAAACGTACAAAAGCAGCGCTCTATAGGCCATGCAGGACTTAAGTTAAATATAGCTTAAATATAAAGTTATGAAACTTAATTTGAATTAGGTTAACCAAAATCGATTTGCTCTGGAACAAGTAGTAGATTAATAAGACCAAAGATTTCCTGTTTTTGTGTTTAACCACTATCTATAAATAGTTCCCTGAAGGACTGGCCGAGATGAAGCTGTTCTCTGCGGGTACATGAGCGCTGAACGGCCGCTGTCGGCCTGGAGCTCAATCTCTGAAAACGTTTAAATAAATTGTAAAATAGGCACTATGTTTATATATGAGTCACATATTTGAGGTCTAAATAACTACATTCTCGCCTAAAAAAACTCTCTTCAAAACTATAGTTTGTGACACTACAACAGTAGTATTTGTAAAGAATATGGTGGATTTGCATGACAGTCGTCGCAAGCGGTGTGAAACAAGCGTGGTAAAACGGTTAGAGTGCTGAGATACTGTGTGAATATCGCACGACTGGAAAAGGCTCTCAGCCAATCAGTTTCGAGAACCAGAAAGAACTGTTGTATATATATATATATATATATATATATATATATATATATATACTGTATATACAACAGCAAACTTATCCATCTGTTCGACATTATTGCAACAATATATATATATATATATATATATATATATATATATATTGTTGCAATAATGTATATATATATATATATTGTTGCAATAATGTCGAACAGATAAGTTTGCTTAGGAATTGATATGGAAAGAGGAAGGACAGAGGCTTAAGAAGGAATCAATTGGCTGCCAGACAGAAAATGAGAAAATCGCCCTGACATCTCTCTTTGAATTAAATAAAATGTTATTTCAGTCTGTGCTAAAGCCAAACTGAATGAAAGACTATCAGTAGGATGGTGGCAAGATGCAGTGTAATGATGGTTTATCATTCTTTGTCATGTGCTCAATGAAAACTGGATAAAGGCATTTGAAAGAAAGAGATACACAGATAGAGACATAGAAGTTTGAGAGGGTGAAGTCCTGGACAATAGTTTCAATATGGAGAAGGAGATAAGGAGTGTGCCTCAATGACTAATCTGTGTGTAGGAGGTGGTGGGTTTTTATGAAACCCCTTTGATTGTTAGATGCCTACAGACTTTTAGCAACTGTTGTCAAAAAAGGAATTTAAGCTCACCCACAAAAGGGAACAGGCAAGACTAATTAGGCTTGTAGAGACAGTGGCCAAGGACTCTCAAGCATGAGCTCAAAAATTAACACGAGGGATGTTTTGAACAACGTGAGAAAGTGACTTTACATCAAGGAAGTAAGTAAGGACAAAATATTATCTATTTCTTAAATATACTGACATTTTTTTCCTCAAAAGATAAGCAAGTTCACTTGTATGGGGCATCAACATTTTCTTTTCTCCTTTGTGTTACTCTTAATAGAGCCCTCACCTTGAGAGCAGACAGTAAAGTACATTAGCTATGCCGATTTACCTGAAAACACACATTCCATGCGGTTAACAAAACAACTTTTTTTTTTTATTCAAATGTGAAACCACTAATGTTCAGAGTGACATAAAACACTTTACAAAAGCTAACATCAATCTGAAATGGCTGAAAAGCACCTGGTCATGTTTAAAAACCTACACATGTCCTGTTTCGTGGGCTACAACGAAGGCAGAAGAGAAGCCGTCTTCATGATTGAGGGTGCAGCTGCGGACAGGGTGGCACATCCCAGTGACGGGGGCATATCCTAAGAGTGAGTGAGTGACAGAGACAGACAGAGAAGATGAAATGGTTAGGGTTTCTTTTTTTTCTGTCATAACTTTCTCTGTGATTCTACAGTCTGACAGCTTGCTGCTTGGTGTACTTGTAATACTTTGAGAAGAGCAATGCTGACAACTCTGCAAAGAGCTGTCCAGGAGAATTAGATATGATTTTTCATTATTTTTCTGTTTCTTTCATTTAGTTATGACATGTAATGGCTATTTTACTAACAATTCAAATACATATTTGAGGATTATTGGAGGCGGATGGAACAAATTAGAGTCTTTCCAGCAAAGGTGACAGCATGTGCCAAAACAATGTCAACCTACCAGCTGTCATTACATCACATTTCATTGTGTTGGACAAAGACAGTCACTTTGTTCGAAGGGCAATACAGTGAAATGTGCAATTGTTATAGCATACTGACAGTTTGGCATGCAGTCAATAATAATTAATTACAAAAAAAGTGTCAACAAATATAAAATTCAGATAAAATGAGTGATGTGAAATGAATATTTCTCAGTTTGTGAAATGATTTTATTTTTCTTGGTAATGGCATTTGTGGTGCAAAGTGATTTGGACAATTGCGCTGCTTTTTAAAGTGTCTGTGTGTGTACATATTAACATGCAATGTAAAAACATTCACCAGTAGAATTTACTGTATATGTTCTCATCCTGTTCCCTTAAAAAGTAAACACTAGCTATGTTTCCATCCACCTGTTTATGTGCATTTTGGGAAATCATATAAAAACGCTGGATGGAAACGCCAAGATGAGGTGGATAATCAATTTTATTATCCGATAAGAGGACATGCGCATAAACTACAACGGAAACACATTTAACGAATAAATCCCTCGATGCACAGCAAAAAAGTTCATATTTTCGACTCAACAGTGGATGTGATTGGAACTGAACTAACCAGTGGATCAATTTCATTGCACAGCATCTCAAATGTTGGTTTGATCAAAATGCCTGAGCCAAAGTCTGTCATCAGAATGATTTGCAATAATGACCTCCCAAAAGTGTCTTACATGAATGCATTACCAAATACCAGGCATCTGAACGCAAGATAACATGACAGCATTCATTGCGTTTTGTCAAGTCATTTATTTGGGATGTTAGTTAATTAATTTGGATATTAAAATGTTCTCAGAACTCTGTTCTACTTGTTTACTTGTTGTTAGCCCATCACCAGCTCAGATCTCGGCAACACACCGCTGTGCTTACAACAGGAATATATGTGGAAAATAGAAGAAAACTAATCGGAGCAGAGAGGAGAGGAGAGGAGAGGAGAGGAGAGGAGAGGAGAGGAGAGGAGAGGAGAGGAGAGGAGAGGAGAGGAGAGGAGAGGAGAGGAGAGGAGAGGAGAGGAGAACCGCTTGTTCTGAGAGATTGATAATGATATATGGGGATTATAAAAAAAGTTCTTACAAACACTTATCGTTTCACTACAGAAGGCATTGATTCATCCATTGTGGTTCCATGGATTACCGTCGTTATTGCTGTATGCTGTTTGACTTTTAGGAACCCATGAGCTTGCATTAGCAGATAATATATATATTTTTTTTTTAAACCTTTCTTTGTTTTCATCTGAAGAAAGAAAGTTATATACATCTCAAATGCCATGAGGGTAAAAGATGAGTAAATGGTGAGGACATTTCTGGGTGTACAGTATTTTCTTTTAATACATAAAACAGAATAGCAAGATGTATGGGATTCCATCTTAAAGGGGACCTATTATGCAAAAATCACTTTTTATAAGGTTTTTATAATCTAGGTGTATACCTACACGTACGTACTTTATTGGAACACTATAATTACCGAAAGTTACGCTGTAAATTAATTTTACTTACGCAGTACTTTCCGGGCTGTAATCTAAAGCGTAACCGATCTCGGCTCTAAAGCTATTGTTACGACCAAGGACGCATTCATTGTGTGTCTGTTACATACCAGGAGTGTTATGTGCATATGTATTTTTTTCTCTCTCTCTTTCTCTCTTCTTGTGTGTCTTTGACTAATAGGATTAAGGGCTACCACCTGTGCTCGTTTACCTGTGAGTGCTGTCCGCACACTGATTGGTGCGTGTCCTGAGGAGTCTAAAACAAAGCATTCAGAGAGAGTGCTGAGGAAGTAGAGAGACATCGCGGTGTTTGAGGTTGTTCCGCTCTCCAAGCCCAGACAAGTGAGCGCTGGTCGTGCTCTTTGGTGTGTGTGGTCACAATGTGTGTCCTAACGTGATTCTTGAATTTATCATTTTTTTTCATTTATGATCAGTTAAGAGTTTATGGGTAATGTAGGGTGGAGGATATCCATAACTTTTCTCCTGTTTAATGGTTAGTTGAGGAGTTAGGGAAGATATGTTGTTTTGTTTTGTTTTGTTTTCTGTTTTGTATAGGTAAGTTAATGTTATTCCCTTTTTAGGTAGAGGTATTTTTGTTTTCTTTTGAGTTGAGCCCTCCTCCCGAGGTAACACTTTTGTTTTGGATTTATATGTAATGTGTTCCTTTACTTTATATTACTATTTTCTTTTCTAGCTCCTGCTAAGGTTGAAAATAAAAGGCAGACATGCCATTTCAAACCGAAACTTGTTTGGTTATTTTGTGAATCTGGGACTGGAGAGCTGGAGATCCTCAAAGTCTCTCCACTGTTTGTTCGTCGTTCCCTATTTTACCCCTAGACTAAGGGGATACGTAACAATTGGGGGCTCGTCCATACAACTGAAAGCTTTTCTAGTGAAGGAAACTAAGTGGTAAGTTGAAATGTACTCTTTTCTCTCTTTTTCTTGACTGGTATGTCTTCGTAATAGGGGAAGGGAAAGAGACCTCTTGTGGTAGGAGAAATGGAATTCGATTTGACAGCCTTCACAGAAGTTTCACTTGTTTTGAAACACGGAAGACCTAACTTGATCAGTGCACTTTTGCTATCAAAACAAATAACTGTATAAATGCACTGATATGTACCCCGTAATTTAAAAAAAAAGCCTTTAAGTATTGGTACACTATTCAATTCAAATGTATTTGTATAGCGCTATTATACACGCTATTACACTAACAAAAAGCTACACAGTGTATGTTCTTGCTAAATTGCTCCCAAATGTAAGATTGTTGCCTATCATAATAGTAGAATTATTTACCCTTAGAACCCTTAGTTCTAAAATAATGACAGTATAATTAATTTGTTAATTTTCCTGGTTGTTATTCCCCAAACTTTACATATTGTTCCCTTATACCAACACGTAAATACTTTATTGTAACACTATAATTACAGAAAGTTACGCTGTAAATTCGTTTTACTTACACAGTACTTTCAGGGCTGTAATCTAAAGCGTTACCGATCTCAGCTCTAAAGCTATATTCATATCTGGTGTCAATAAGCCAATAAAGCACATCAGTTCACATCGGCTCTGATTAGCTCAATATCACCACTGCCAGACAACAAATGCGCCACAGGTAGGTGGAGAGGCCAAAGAGCTCTTCTCGGATGATTAACGAGGCCCGCTGAGTACATACAGTGGCATGATAAAGGAAATGTGAGAGTCGCAGTGACAGCATAAACACTTCATGCTGAGATCAGTGCTCTTCTCGGGAAAAGCTTGAGTTTTCCTGTCAGGTTGAATAGACGTTAAATGTGCACTGTGTGAACTTTGTCAGTGCTGAAGGAGATATGCCCTGAGAAGACTGCTGCTTCAGCTCCCGCCTAAATCCTTAGACAACAAAACCCCGTTTTCTGATGTGCTTATGTAAGTGGGCTTTCATGTCTCTCTTCTATCCTTTTCCAATAGTGTGAACCTCTTTACACATCTTCTACCATCTGTCTGAAGAGGAGTTTTTACACCAGGCAGCATTCTTTCAGACATTTCTTACAGCATTGATGAGGTGCTGACAGAAACCCATGGGGACTGCGAGGGAGTATTAGTGAGAGAGAGAGAGAGAGAGAGGAGAGAGAGTGAGAGAGAGAGAGAGAGAAGAGAGAGAGAGAGAGAGAGAGAGAGAGAGAGAGAGAGAGAGAGAGAGAGAGAGAGAGAGAGAGAGAGAGAGAGAGAGAGAGAGAGAGAGAGAGAGAGAGAGAGAGAGAGAGAGAGAGAGAGAGAGAGAGAGAGAGAGAGAGAGAGAGAGAGAGAGAGAGAGAGAGAGAGAGAGAGAGAGAGAGAGAGAGACTGACCTTTTTCACGGAATGAACATATTTAAGATGTACGATTTTGTGTGTGAAAAATGCTATACATGACAAGGGAGGAAATGTTTACAAGTCTGAGGCATGTTAAAGACCAAAAAAGTCAAACCTTGCATCCCGGTGGGGCCAAAGCCTTGCCGGGTCAGGAAGATAGCATGGTCGTGATGCTCTGAGTGCTCTGGATCCTCTTTCTGCTGGACGAAAGCCCAGCGACACACGTTCTCCAGGCTTCGAGAAGGGTTGCCACGTTCAATGAGACTGATGGACTGAGAAAAATATTAGAGACTCATTAGGGGACACTTTCTGCATTCATTAATCTATGAAACACCTTAAACTGACTCACATTGATCACTGTGGGTCTGTTTGTTTAACGTCTTTAAGATAAACTCCTGTTTATTAATAGTCAAGAGAGTAGTCTAGATACTTGAAGGTGAATTCAAACCTTTTAATTTGCAAACTACAGTACAATAAACTAAAATTCCATTTTGTTGTTGCTGCTTTTTTCCTAATACATTTAAGGTATTGATCACATTAACATGTATTTGGCAAGGAACAAACCATGTTGCAATTATATGTGTATAACAAAACAGTCATAAAATTACCTCTGTGTATTTGTGGACTGAATTATGAGCTTACAAAATAGTATATTTTTATGTATTTTTTTGCTTTCAATTGTGAATGGCTGTGTGCATTAGTGACAGGTTTAGATACTGTCATAATTAGACAGATATAAGTAGCTAGACTGCCGACAGTTGTTGTCCTCTCCCTGTCCCCCTCTACACACCAAATTATTGCACATTTCAAAACTGTGGTGGTAACTGTCATGGTTAGCTCCACAAAGGATGATGAGGAGAAAGATAGTATTCAAACAATAGCGTTAGCGTTAATAAAACAAACAAAAGCAGTACTCCATCGAGAATATACAATGTTACAGTGTGCACGTGTATATACACAGGATAACGAACTAAAGTACAGACAGGTGTCCGTTAATTAATCATATAATAAAAAAACCATGGTAAATGATTATAAATGGGAACAAAGGAACGAGGAAACCGGAAGCAAAGATAAACATACAAAAAGTTGATAAATGCACCTGGCAACATTGCAGGGCTATTGTTGACTAAAAACCATTAAAAAAGCATTTCTGCTACTTGAATTAAGGTTAAATAAAATAAAATAAAACTTATTTGACTAGTTGTCAAAGCAACATTTCTCAATTTGGTTTAACTTATATAAATATATAGTAAATATATAGTAAAACAAAAACTTTACAGACATTTAAAAAAGCAATAACTAATAAAAAAGACAAAAACATGGCAAAATTACTAAAACTTTCAAATTAAAATGAAAACAGAAATTACAAAAACTAATTCAGGCCATTAATGGGTAAATATAGAGTCAGAGAGAGTGGAAAATTGTCATGAAAATACTAAGTAAATAAATAAAGATATACAATATTACATCTTATGTAAGAAATATATGATATGACCCATTATGGTTTATAAAAGAGATATTTAGCAGTAATTTACCTTAGCATATCCAAGCATTATCATCCTCACAAGCACAACATTAATGTGCACTCCCAATGATTCTTCGTGGTAGATCTCATTCACCTGTAAACACATGATGAAAACTACATTATTATCCCTTAAATTCAACATAATAAAACAACAAAACATTGATCTTGCCACAAAGGGGAAAACGGATATCAGGCAAGGATAAGTTGCATCATACTCCACCTAGTCAATTATGACAGCTACTGATAATATCAACTCCAGGGACTGTGAAAACAAATGCTGCTTCATTCCATTTCTGAAACCTCACCATGATTGACAATAAGCAAAAGAAAGCAAAGATTTTTCAACAACAGAATCGAGATAAAGAGAGTGGGAGGAAATGGATCTCAGACCCATAAGAGTGGCTCTCTGAGGCATAGAAGGCGTTTTTAGACAGGACTTGGGGCTACGGTTGGCATGGAAAAGCCTATGAAAGGTTGGTAAATGAAAAGGGCCCAGTGTTTAGCTGGTCATACAGAGGCCTTTTTTTTTTTTAAAGGTTCAGATGTTTTTCCTTCTCCACCTAGCTAAGAGCCTGCTGTGTGGGGTGTGCGTTTTAAAGGCACAGTTTTGCTGTTTGAATGCAAGGTGTGATGCTGTAACGAATGACTACATCCTAAATGGTACAAATGTTTCATCGAAACCTTCTGGAGCTTATTTCAAAAACTGGCCACACTTAAAAACAACATACACCCATTACATACATGCTATATGCTTATGAATTCAACGCCCATAGGCGTAATTTGCGGGTGGGACGGGTGGCACATGTCTCCACAGCTTTTTGCCAGGGAAGAAATGAACACTAGAGGCAGTAAAACAGCAACCACTTTTAATCATTTTCACAGACAATTATGATTACAGCGGTATATTATCTATTAATAAAGACTTGTTTTCATGTGGCTCCTTGCACAATTATGTTATAACCTCAAAACAATTTAACCAGCTCGGTATGTTCAGTTTTACTGACTTATTAAGCTTGCTCAGTAGCTCAGTTGGTACAGAATTGTACTTGTGATGCGGAGAGTTCGGATACGAACCTTGTGAAAGAGTCACGACACAAGAACTCAAAGTTCAAAATCAAGCTAAAATGCCATGATTACGTTTATATGTCGCATTTGCTTATAACACTATAGGGTAGGTTTAGTGTAGGTGTATTTTAGTTATTTTAAAACATAATGGAGCATTAAGCTTTTAGCTCCACTCACCGGACATTTCAATTCAGAACTGCAGTGATGTGATACGTACAAACTCCGACATAATAAAATGTTGACATATTCACGTTCATCTGTTCCGGAAAAAAACTAAACAGGCTATTAGCGCGTTCACTTTGAAACTGTCGCGAAACGTATTTTGCGCTTTGCAATAATGTTGCCACAGGTACGTTTTTCGAATGAGCCTGGGCTGATATAGTAGATCTCATTAAACGACAAATTAAACCCAATGTACTATTGAAATTTTTTTCTGGACATCGTAATGTTATTATGTTCCAAAAAATTTTATTGTACACATATATTGTACATATATCTGATTTAGCAACAATCAAAATATGATGCAACTGTTGTTCTTATCACATTACTAATTGTTTCTAGCTTATGATTCTGTAAACAAAAATGTGAGGTTGTCCTGGTCATTTGTATGGCAGAGAAGAGAGACAACTTTGGTGGAGCTAAATGCAAATCTGTGTTGAATTTATGTCGAGATCTCTTCTTAAACAACACATGAACAATCAGAAGGAGGCATGAAGTAGGCACAGAAAGAAAAAGTATGCCTCAGCAGATCTGTGTTGCTGTAGTAATTTGTTGTAGGGAGCAGCAAAAATGTACCTGTGCAAAATGATTAAATTCTCCATTGGCATATGAACACAGATTGCCTAAACAACTCTAAATCAGCAGAGGATGGTAAGTCTCTTACCAACTGCCCCCCTCTCTTCGTCCCAGCCGCCTCATGCAATTAAACAGAAGCTCTGTTTGATACAGAAAATTGTCCTCTTCAGGCAGCAGGGCTTTAAATAAGCATGCAAGGGGCCTAACCACAGAAGTCTGCATGTGTGAAAGTTGTAGTAATGTTACATTTGTGTACAGAGCTCATTACATTCTGAATGCTGGACCAATCTTTAGTGAGGGTTTATTAAACATTGTAGTGTTCATCTCATCAATGCACTGGTGTACAGAGCAGCAGGGACATCTACTGGAGGAAGGACTTCTAAATTTCTCAAAAGCAGCGGTTTAATCTTAAAATGTTATGAGTGTAATAGTCATAGCTATTTCGTAGCTACTTTATTTCTCAGCCACATCCTCAAGTATGCCACATTTGGTCTATGCCTTGTGTGACACATCAAGATGAAAAAGCAAATAAATCCTCTACAAAAGAAAGTAGAAATTTCCTTTGAATATATTGACATTAATTCTTGCAAATTGTTCAAGCGAAACTAAGGGTGGGTTGCACTTGATCCTGTAACATTATGCAATCAGTTGAAGGGCAACAAATACATCAGACATAAGGAGCTACAGGCACTGTGTATCAACAGTTTAATAGTTTATGTGCTGAATCTATGATGCTATTATCTCCACAGATTACACAGTGCATCTGTGGTCATGTTTTAAAACATATATATATATATATATATATATATATATATATATATTTATCTTGTGCTAAGAATGAGCTTTTCCTCCAAAAACAGAAAATGTCACAGACAGGACCACATCTGGACAATGTTACCACTCATACAAGGTCAATCTCTTTACAGGTGCAGTTTAATGACACATTTGCGTATAAGCAAATTTTGACCACCATCCACTAAGAGAGGTATTTTGTCATCAGCAATCATCTTGAAATGTATTAGTGAAATAGCAAAAACATTAAAGAACCTGTGCCTTCCATTTATGTGTGTCAGAGTACTGAATCAGGAGGAGATGGTTAATAAGTTTTATGAGGAAGAAGAGAATTGGTTGCTCAACAATAAAGATGGCCTGATGGTCAGCGGCCAGTGTGAGACAGTTTTTGGCCAGTTGAGGGGTATGTCAGTGAATTTGGGTGATTGAAATCTGCATGTTAATCACCAGTTTCATTAAATATTTTATTGTTCCATACATTATTTATTTATTAATATTTTCAATGATGTGTGTGTATCCATATATAAGGTGCTGTCACTTTAAAACCTGACACACGGACCCATTATACTGTTTTATATAGCCAATATACACTCACCTAAAGGATTATTAGGAACACCATACTAATACTGTGTTTGACCCCCTTTCGCCTTCAGAACTGCCTTAATTCTACGTGGCATTGATTCAACAAGGTGCTGAAAGCATTCTTTAGAAATGTTGGCCCATATTGATAGGATAGCATCTTGCAGTTTATGGAGATTTGTGGGATGCACATCCAGGGCACAAAGCTCCCGTTCCACCACATCCCAAAGATGCTCTATTGGGTTGAGATCTGGTGACTGTGGGGGCCATTTTAGGACAGTGAACCCATTGTCATGTTCAAGAAACCAATTTGAAATTATTCGAGCTTTGTGACATTTGTGGCATTATCCTGCTGGAAGTAGCCAACAGAGGATGGGTACATGGTGGCCATAAAGGGATGGACATGGTCAGAAACAATGCTCAGGTAGGCCGTGGCATTTAAACGATGCCCAATTGGCACTAAGGGGCCTAAAGTGTGTCAAGAAAACATCCCCCACACCATTACATCACCACCACCACCAGCCTGCACAGTGGTAACAAGGCATGATGGATCCATGTTCTCATTCTGTTTATGCCAAATTCTGACTCTACCATCTGAATGTCTCAACAGAAATCGAGACTCAACAGACCAGGCAACATTTTTCCAGTCTTCAACTGTCCAATTTTGGTGAGCTCTTGCAAATTGTAGCCTCTTTTTCCTATTTGTCGTGGAGTTGAGTGGTACCCGGTGGGGTCTTCTGCTGTTGTAGCCCATCCGCTTCAAGGTTGTGCGTGTTGTGGCTTCACAAATGCTTTGCTGCATACCTCGGTTGTAACGAGTGGTTATTTCAGTCAAAGTTGCTCTTCTATCAGCTTGAATCAGTCGGACCATTCTCCTCTGACCTCTAGCATCAACAAGGCATTTTCACCCACAGGACTGCCGCATACTGGATGTTTTCCCGTTTTCACACCATTATTTGTAAACCCTAGAAATGGTTGTGCGTGAAAATCCCAGTAACTGAGCAGATTGTGAAATACTAAGATGCCGTCTGGCACCAACAACCATGCCACGCTCAAAATTGCTTAAATCACCTTTCTTTCCCATTCTGACATTCAGTTTGGAGTAAATGTAAAAAAACACCCCTAAATGCATTGAAGCAACTTCCATGTGATTGGTTGATTAAATAATTGCATTAATGAGAAATTGAACAGGTGTTCCTAATAATCCTTTAGGCAAGTGTACTTGTCTTTATGTGCACGCACTTTGGGTGTGAGCACAAAATCTGTCGGAATGAGTGAAGTATCAATATGTATCAAAAAATCACTTGATTGAACTTAGTTTATTATTTCAGATGCCTTTTTAAAAGACTACAATTGAAAATGTATAATATATAAAATTCAACCCCTAATGTCAAGCCCTGTATATGTGTGTATATGCCATATATATATATATATATATATATACTGTATATATATATATATATATATATATATATATATATATATATATGGCAAATAATATTGTGTTCTAGCACCCAAAATAAATAAATGAATTAATGAAGTAATTAAATAAGTAATCCATGAGTAATCCGGTTGAGCCCTGCTAAAGATGATAGGATACTCACAATGTTCATGAGGGTGAGGAGATAGTTTTGCACATGCTCTTTCCCATGAAAACGGACAACAGAATCATCTACTCCAAGCAGCACCTCAATATTGTAGTCATCGTCACCAGCGTGCCTCCGTCTCCTGACTGTCCTTTTGACTTGTTTAGCAATACTGTCCAGCACCCTTGGTGCATTCAATTCAGGCTCTGCAAGACAAAATGGTTAGTCTCAAAAAAGCACCTTGTCTTAATCATTTGACAACACCAGCATATTAAACATCTTAAGGGTATCTGTGCATTACTATGCACTAGCGTCTTGCAAGTTTTCTTTTGTTCTCTTCTTCTTTACAGAGTGCAAGTTTATGCCAGCCAAAAACAACAGAAAGCAATCCTAACAAGGGCTCTTCATGATCCAACATCAATCCAGGCTATAAACCAATGTCTTTTTTAAACGCTGATGCTAAAATAAATATTCCAAACATCTTGCAATTTGGCTGGCTCAGGCCTACAGTGTGGGGATTGTGAGGAACATTCCTCAGCTCCTACATCCCGTCATGACACACGCATTCTTGTGTGGCCCAGCTCCCAGAAGAGTAAACACGTCTCTGAGGTTCCACTTCAAAAAGCACAGGGCTTCCCCTCACGCTCAGACGTGCCGTGTGTCCCTCGCAGGTTCCTTGGTCCACAGCGTCTCTATGTACACCCTCATTCTCCTGAGGGGCTGCCATTCACAAATGGCAAAGCAAGGATAGCATACACATGGCAAACCTGCGTAACCCGCCGGCCCCAATTCTAAAAATTACTTATGATGGCAAATGAGACCATCCAAATCACCAGTGGAAATCTACTATGTCTAGACTGCAAAACCTCAAAAAGTGTGTGTGGGTCAGTATTTTACAGTATTATTTTGTATGCCATACTTATGCTTATTAATGTGTCATACAATTGTAATATTTGTTTGGTTATGATTTATTGCAAACACATTTATTAACATGCTTATGTTATGACATTAATGAGATGTCATGTCTATTAAAGAAAGCAGTTTATACTATTTGTGGGCAGATTATAACCCTCTTAATATCCTCAGGTTTCACCAGGCCTCACAATGACAACAGCTTAAACATACTAAGGGCCCTATCTTGCACCCAGCGGAATTGACTTTGTACACCGACGCATGTATCATTCCTATTTTGCACCTGACGCACAGCGGACTTTTCCCTCCACAGACGCACGTCGGTAAATCGGGGAATGAACTTGCGCTCCTGGGGGCGGTTCAGTGAAAAGAGCAAACCGGTTCCGGTGCAAACGTTCCCTGGTGCTATTTTGCAGTTCTAGAAAACAATTCCGCCACAGACCAGGATAAACCTAGTCTAAAGTCAGTGGCACGTTATTCAGATGTTATTTTAAGGGCGCCTGCTTGGCCATAATGTAGCGTATGCACAAAGCGCATACACTTTGATTCTCTCATCTTCACAGACGCAGCAGTTCTTATTTTTGCAAATCATATATTATTACAAGGAAAAATATTAACACACGAGGGAAATCATTGTGGTGTCCATGAAGATGTGAAAAAATAGGCATAAATCTAGCTTACACATTTACCTATGAGTAATGTAGCTACTTCAGACCAACCCATTTTAGATTTGCGTCGGGCGCAAGAGTAATTTATCCCGCTGGTATAATAGAACAGCCCAAAGGATAGTGATGGATGACTTGCCCGGTAACCATTCCCTTTGGGCGAGATCCGCCCAAAAAGTTACTTACGTTTCGCGTTTGATACTTGCGTTTCAGATCGTTAAAATAGGGCCCTAAATGTCTTAAAGTCCCCCTGTAAGTGAATAATTTCATCCCTTTAAACTCATATTTGATCACCAAAATTTAAAAAATGTATTCATGCCTTAAAATAGCTTGAATGTAACTCTACACCCTTAGTATACGTGGATCGCCTCGGTTACGTATGTAACCCCCGTTCCCTGAAGGAGGGAACGGAGACGTAGTCGACGTGTCGACTGATTGGGATCACGCTTAGAGAGCCTGTCATCTTCGAGTACTATTAAAACGAGCAAATGAATTTGGCATGCGTGAAATGCATCACACACTTCGCCCCCGCGCCGCGGGTATAAATGCGGAAGTGGATGCAAGCACTAGTTGTTTTTCGCTGAGGAGCCGCGCGTAACTCGGAGTCAGCGGTGGTCCACCAATAGTGGCGACGGGACTACGTCTCCGTTCCCTCCTTCAGGGAACGAGGGTTACATACGGAACCGAGACGTTCCCTTTCAGTCGCTAAGGACATGGAAGGACGGGACACTGTGGAAGCCACATCCTGCCCGAAGGGAGGTAACCTGTGGAGAATACACACATGAACTGGGCGGATATCGGGCAGTACAATATACGGAATGTCACTGGGGTGGCTCCAGCCAACAGGGGGAGACTCAACCGGACAGTGACGGCAGAACAGGCTCTGCCAAGGGAAGACACGGGCTCATCGCAGGGAGCCGTATCGTGGAAGAATACACATATGGGATCGCCGTAGGGTAGGGGTGTGGCGGTATTTATATAACCGTGAGACCGACGGTTGCACACCCAACGCGTCAACTTTGCAATTTAGACGCGCAATCTGGGTGCCGGTGCGGTGAGACGTACATGCTCGGGCAGATTCGGCTTGAAGTCGTTCATCCTTGAATGCGGCGCCGCGCGCGCTGTTACAAAATAAAAAGCCGTGCACACAGCCAAGCGAAATGGGGTCTTGCACACCCAACGCGTCATTTTTGCCTCACACGGCACGATTGAGCAGGCCTGAAGAATCTTAAGTGGAATGAAGCGACCTCAGAAGCTTCTGACTCCAACGAGGAGGTGACGGGCGAGTTGTGACATGCGAGGGAAGCTTAGCGCAATGGTCACAATGTTGTCTTTTCAGACCAGTCCCAGCTCGCTGAGCAGCGGTGGCTCAAAGCGAGGTGAACTGCCAACTCAAGGTAATGAATACCAATGCAGTCGGGGGTCGCCCAGGCCTCTGTTAAAGCATGCCCTTTGTACACGGCCCCTCAGTCGGTGTTAGTGGACCTGAAGGTCTGAACACAGGCTGAGAGTTTGGCGGCAGGCTGGGGTGATCTTTTATCACACAGGGCTTGCCGCTCTGCCACGGTCACCTCGGGACTAGATCTTAAAACTAGTGCTGAAGCGGTCTTCATATGGAGGAAGCCAAGCGGCTGCGTCTGCCATATGCCCCATGAGCCTCTGAAAATTTTCAGTGGGACCCTTTCTCACCTCTAGCACTAGCCTAACACACTCTTCTTGAAGAGATGTGTTGAACCGAGTCCATCTCCTGAATTGAGAAAGAGATACTCAGCCCGTGGGTGAGATTACTCTCTCCCAGTGGACCTGAAGACCCAACTGGCTATGGAGCACTCGAAGGGTAGAACCTTGTCCGCATCCACCATCTCAAACAGGCTGAGCCAACGATGGCGCTCCTGGACCACTAAGGTGGACACCGCCAGACCGATCGTTTCAGCATAGCTGACATTTCTGGATCTGGCTTGGGCAATGTTAAATTCCCAGAGGGAGATAACACAGCCGAGTTGTCATCTCCAGAGGCCGACATCTTATCCTCTGGGGGAACCCCAATTGAAACGGCTGATCGGTCCATTACAGAGGGACCAGCACGTTCAACAGGAATTCCATCGGCTGCGGTGTGATGGAGGAGTGAGGAGCCCACAGGGAATGACATCCATCAAGCTGCTTCAGCATTTTTCAAACACGTGCTGTAACAATTGTGACTGTCAGAGAGGGAAAGGGAACGACCGCATCTAGAAACGCACAGGTGGAATGACATCTTTTTCTATTTTTTTTTTATTTTTATTTTTTTTTAAAGACACAAACGCACCCGTGTTGCTCTTTCAGGAAATAGGACCATCACCAGTGCCGGAGCACACAGGGGAATGACCGCGGCAACACTGAACAGTGAACTGAAACAGTGAAGCACTCACTTTTCCGCCCTCTATCCAGCCGTCAACACACACAAACCTATAGAAATTTGTTGCTGTTAAAACAGTAGTTGAGAGCTCAAAGCTCGCGATTACCGCTGCACTCACGCTGTAGAAACCACCAGCACTGGGAGAGTCTTCCAGAAAAACACTGACACACTCGCTCGTTGTAAACAACAGCACTCTTCAAAGACATCAAACGATCGGCTCCGAAGCGAAAGACAACTAGTGCGTGCATCCACTTCCGCATTTATACCCGCGGCGCGGGGGCGGAGTGTGTGAGGCATTTCACGCACGCCAAATTCATTGGCTCGTTTTAATAGTACTCGAAGATGACAGGCTCTCTAAGCGTGATCCCAATCAGTCGACACGTCGACTACGTCGAACGTGAGTGACTGAAAGGGAACCATGAATATGCAAGTTAGCCCCGTCTCCACTCACTCACACCAGCTCAGAGACCCACTCAAGTTTACTCAAGTTACTGTAGTAAACACTGCACAAAGATATCGCTCTGTACAACGTCGGACACATAATGGTAATTAATATGATAGCCTTTTGCTTGACTACGTTATCAAAAATGTGTTGCTAATGTAACACACACCATATTCCCATCTGCCATCTCCGTCTGCCTTCAAAAAATCAGCATCCTTAGAAATGCTTTGAACATCATAGAACGTCAGTGGAGAAAAACAATCGTTCACTGCACATTTAAGTATTTTCCCGCCAGCGTTTAAAAAAAAAAAAGATGCCAGCGCCAGCATTTTTGATAATTTTCACAAAAATTTCATGGCCCCCAGAATATTTTGTTGTATAAATATCTGAACATGCAATATATCAAAAGAAAGAACAGACCCTCTGCTTTTAAACAAAAAAAAACTGTTTTATTCAAGCTTCATGCACTCTTTTTTATCAACACTTGAATATGGGTAAGTTTTATAAAAAAGCTACATTTTGCGTAAAAAGTTGAGAAAATCACGCTTTTGTCAAAGACTACATCTGGATCGGATTCAGAACGATGATCAAAACATATTGATCATATAGATCGAGTCCATCAACATCCCTAAAGCTTCACAGTCCTATGGCTATAGCTTGTCCTGGGTCGACATTTCTTTCAGTAACATTAGGCAGTTTTGATTTATATGCTGTTTAATGTTGATGATCGCGTTATATTAAATATGCATATGATTACATATGAGATCACTTGTTTCTGCGTCTTCTTCGCAT